AGGAATGCCCAGGGGATGTCTCCTCCTAGGGGGACTCTTTCTTTAACCTCCCTGGGGGCTGTCCCCTTTGACCCCCAGACGGATTCTATGAAGTGGCTGGGCAGGGATTATTGTACTCATTCTGTGAGTGGCAGTGGTGCTGTGTTGGAGGACTTGGGAAAGGTCACCAGGAGTGGGTTGAGCAGGAAGCAGGGCCTGGCCTTCCTGCCTGGGTCCCAGGCATTCTCAGCAAACCCACCCGGGTTCCCTCCGTGTTCCTCCGACGGAGAGACACATTCAGAGCAGGCCTTGCCTAACCTGGGTGCCTGGGTCTCCAGGAAGTCCTGTCCTCAAGGAGCTCCTAGCCTAAAGCCCTCCAAGCTTCTTTCCCTCCGTCTTCCTCCTCTCTGTCTTCCTGGCTTCTTCCCACCCTGGGAGGCTGTGGAGAAGCTGCTCTGCCACCGGGGAAGCGGGAGGGCCGCCAGACTAACTTGCTGTCCGATGGGTCTTCTCTTGACCCCAGGTCCCGGCTGGCGGACTTCCACGCCAACTGTCGTGCCTCCTACCGGACGCTCACCGGCTGCCCCACTGACAATTACCAGGCATGTCTGGGCTCCTACGCAGGCATGATCGGTAAGCTGCCCCCACCCGGGCTCTCGGTGGCTCCCGGCTGCCCCAGGCTCAGTTAGGGACCGAGGCCCAGCTCAGGGCCGGCGGGTGGACAGCCTGAGCTGGCCCCTTTCTGCTGTGATGGGAGCTGGAGCTTTATCATGGGGGAGGAGGCCCCTGGGGCCTTAGGAGCTTCCAAAATAAGAAGAAAGGGTAACATTCATTGTGCAACATTCCAGACGCTGTGCTAAGCAGTTTACATGGACTGTCTTATTTAAGTCTCACGGCAGCCCTTACTAGGCAGGGGGTGGGGCTCCATTTTACAGATGGGAAAACTGAGGCTTGGGGAAGCTAAGTAACTTGTGCAGGTTCGCCCTGCTAGTCAACGTTGGCACTGGGATCCAAACCCAAGAGAGAGCCTTAGCCTCCCTGACTGGAGGACACATGCTCTGCTTGTTGGCGAAAGAGAAAGCGAGGGCCCGTGCTCTCGGGTGCGGGGTTGGGGGGCTCCTGGGTATCCCCTCTGCGGCCTGGTCTGTCCTTTATGCCATGCCCCCCTGCTGACCCCCGTGGTTTGGAATGTGAGCTGGGATATATGTGTGTTGAGGGGCAGGTGGATGGGAGGGAGGGGGGTGTCCGAAGCCTCTTCTCTGATGGGCCTGAGGTCTGGGGGCCCGAGGGGAAGCCTTACTGTTCCTCTCTCCTTTGCCTCCCTTTCTCCCTGCCTAGGGTTCGATATAACACCCAACTACGTGGACTCCAGCCCCACTGGCATCGTGGTGTCTCCCTGGTGCAGCTGTCGTGGGAGCGGAAACATGGAGGAGGAGTGTGAGAAGTTCCTGAGGGACTTCACCGAGAACCCGTGCCTCCGTGAGTCCTGCCACGTCCTCCGCAGCCAGCAACCACCCCCCACCCCTCCTATCCCAGGGGGCCCTGGAGCTCTGCCTGGCCATTCCCTCCTTCCCCTTGTGGTGGCCAGTGACGCCTGCAGGGCTTCTCCAGCAGGAGGGTTGCCTGCGGAGACCATGGGTTTTGTGCTCTCGGGGATTCACACTGGAGCTGTCTGGAGGCCACTGGAGGCCTTCCACCTATGTCGAGTCAAGGCCGAAGGTTTCTGGTCTGTGATCCTGACAGGCTCAGCTAGGTTCCTTCAGGCACAGCCCTGTGGTGAGGTCTTAGCATCTGTCACTTTTCCCTTTAAGGATCGATTTCCCCTTGGAATTGGAGTTTCATCAAACTCCTAATCCGAAGGCTAGAGAGAAGGAAAGGTCAGCCACAAGCTCTGCCTGCCTGGTCTTTCTAGTCTGACACCCTCGCTATCCACATCCACCTGGAGATCTCCCCTTTTCCTGGCCTCTTTTCTTCCTTCCGTCCATCTGTCCATCCTGCCTTTCTGAAAGCACAGGGGGGTTAGAGATGGAAGTCACAGTGTTTGTCATTGAGCAACTCACCCTCTGAAGGAGGTGCACCATCACAGCCATCACAGTACGGTGGGGGAGGAACCGTGTTAGGGTGGAGGTCTGCGGAGGGGTCTGCAGAAGCCCAGGGTGGGGCTGCCCAAGTCAGCCTGGAGGAGGGGCGCCCTGAAGGCATCTCAGACCCACTTGGGGATCACTGGCCACCGGTCAGCTGAAGGGGCAGGGAGGGCCTGCTCGTCTGCTCTGGGCAGAGGTGGGTTTCAGGAACTGCAGACCACTTAGCCTTGCCGTACTGCATAAGGATGCCCAGGGTCACCTGGACAGGTGGAGAGAGTCCTCCTGGTGAGGGCCCTTGCAGATCTGAAGGCGTTTGGATCTTAGGGTCCTGCAGGTGGCGGAGGTGGTGTGAAGCTTGCTGAAGGGGTGTCGGCAGGTGGTGCCATGGTCAGATCTGATTTCGGAAGGCTCACTCTCTGGTTCTGGTGTGGAGGGGGTGGGGGTAGGGATGTGTTTCTCACAGGTGACCCAACACAGAGTCCGCTAGAGGTTGTTGTAGGTGCTCTCGGGAGAGGACAGCACCCACTGATCCAGAGCAGTGGCGGGGGGTGGAGTGGGGAGGTGGCCTTGGTTGATGGCAAACGGGTGGTTAGGGAAGTGTCCTGAATAACCCAGGTTTCTGACTTGGGAGACTTGGGTGGAGAAAGATGTCACCGTCAGGACTGGAAACGCAGCGGGAGGCAATGTTGCAGTGGAGGGAGTGGTGCTTAGTTCAGGCGGTGACATCATGAACTAGAAGTGCACCTGGGACTTGGAGGTGGAGCTTCATGTAGGCTCTTGGCTTGAGGACGCAGTTTTGTCCAAGAGGTCCCATTAGTTGGTCCTGAGTGGATTAGTGTAACTGACTGAGTGGGGGGTGGATGAGGCCACCTGGGGAGGGGGACTACGTCGGGGGGCCACGTGAGCATGGTGGTCTGCAATACTGAATGCCGCAGAGAAGGTGGGCTTGCGCCCTGGGCACTGCCTGCCCCTCGCCTCCCGGCTCCCCACACCCCACTTCTCCTGTTTTCGTCTTCATTCCGCATCTGGTACATTTCCTTTATTCCGGTTTCTCTTTTTCAACTTCCTTCCTGTTCTTTTCTTCTCTTGATATGAGACCTTGGTAGTTATCTGAAAGGGAGCTTCAGCCAAGTTAGTTTGGACGAGTTCCACCCCGCCCCCAGCTCTGGGCTATCACAGGGAAGGTCAAGTTTGGGCTGGCAAGGGGCAGAGTGATGGAGGGGCCTCTGATTTCTCTGCGTCTCCTGCTCTCTTTCCCCACAGGGAACGCCATCCAGGCCTTTGGCAATGGCACAGATGTGAACCTGTCCCCCCAAAACCCCTCATTCCAGGCCACGCAGGCCCCTCGGGTAGAGAAAACGCCTTCTTTGCCAGATGACCTCAGTGATAGCACCAGCCTGGGGACAAGCGTCATCACTACCTGCACATCTGTCCAGGTGAGGGGATGCAGCTCTGCCGCTGGGGAAATGGAGCCGGGGCAGTCTGAGGGCTTAGAGAAGCACCTGATGCCAGAGGCGAGGTGGGAAATTACAGCCTGGGGACCAGGGACGGGGCACACAAGTTCCTCCCTTTGGATCAGGACCCAAGAGGCAGGAAGAGCTGATGGGGGCTAGTTTTCCATGATTAATTCACTAACTGTCACCTTGCAAGTATCAGACACCTGTTCTGTCACAGGATTGTACTAGATACCATGGGGGTGCCAGAGAAATGGAATGGTTACCATTTACTAACCATCTACTAATTACTGGGTACTGTGCTAGTAGACTCTACCTATTTCATTGATTCTCACACCATGACCTGTTGGGATTCTTGTTTTACACGCAGGAAACTAGCCCAGGGGTGTTAGGCGACACACCCAAGGTCACACAGCTGGTTAGTGGTGGAATAAGATTTCAAACCTACATCTGATTCCAAAATCTGTGATTTTCATTTGTTTGTCCATCCATCCATCCATCCATCCATCCAACGTGTGTCATGCGTGCATTGTGTTCGACGTCTTATGTGAGATGCTAGGGAGACACTGGTGAATGAGGCTGATGCAGTCCTGTGTTTTGTGGTCCTTGCGGTCTTGTTGAGGGTCAGACAGTTCAACAAGCACCAGACGTGGGCTGCGGTCAGTGCCACAAGAGGAGACCACGTAGGTGGCATTGTGGAGACACATCACAGGGCTCCCCACTCAGCCTTTCTCTCTGCTGAGCTATCCTCATGCTGTCACACCATTTGGTACAGTAGATTCCTTGCTTAGGATGTTGGTTCTAATCAGAACGTGACCCTCCCCCCCCACACTCATACACACTCTCTCTCACACACACTCTCACACACCCTCATATATACTCATATACACACTCATACTATAGAACGAAGAGTTTAAAAGAAGACCTTGTGCAGAATATCATGGAAAACAGAGGAGGGGGGAAACAGTGAGGGTGTGGTGGTGGGGATAGGGGATGTTTCAGGCAGGAATTGGGGCTGGAATTGCTAAGGAGAGGTGGGGTCTGGAGTCCAGCCAGTGAGAGCACAGCGTGAGCAGTGGTTTGGGGGCCGGGGGAACAGGCCCAGCTGCGTGTGGCAATGAAGATGCCAGTCTGAGTGGGGCGGGCTCGTGGGATCACCAGTGAGCACTCACTACGAAGTTTCAGTCTTGCAAGATGAGTAACTCCTGGAGAACTGGTTACAGTGAGTGTTGTACTGTGTACTTGAAATTTGTATAGACCTTAAGTGTTCTCAGGGAAAAAAAAAAAAAAAAAAAAGCAAACAAAGAAGATGGTAGAAGTGTGAAGTGAGGGATGTGTTGATTGACTCGTGGTGAGTATTTTACAATATTTATGTATATTGGATTGTGCACCTTAAAAATATACAATTTTTTTTTTTTTTTTCTGGCCGTGCCGTTCGGCTTGAGGGATCTTAATTCTCCAACCAGGGATCGAACCCGGCAACTGCAGTGGAAGTGCAGAGTCCTAACCACTGGACCACCAGGGAATTCGCAAATAGATACAATTTTTGATGGTCAATATAACCTCAATACAGCCAGAGATGAAGAGCAGCGGGCTTTCAGAGTGCTGGCATGAGACCTGAGCAGGGATGGGGCCTGGCAGAGGTGTCCAGGTCGCCCCGGGCACCCCTTGCTGGTGCCCGTCCTGGTTGGGAAGCCCACTCCCCCTTCCCTTCCCGGTGGGCTGTAACAGCTGACCTCCAAGTGCCTTCAGGCCAGGCCCAGCCTGGGCTCCTCCATGCCCCGCTCCCCTCCATTAGGCCGCCCCTCCTGATTTGGGCTGAGGTGCCCGTGTCACCCCTGGGTGGCTTCTAATTACATTCAACATGCTTCAGCGGCTGCTGGCGGGGCTCGGGGGCCACTCCACAGACGGTTGCCAGCTCAATTTCATGCTAGAGTGGCGGGCAGCTCGGCAGGTCAGGGCTGTGCCACCTGTCAGGTGACCAGGCTCTGGCGTGGTCTCTCTGGGCACTGCCAACCTTCCTCCCCAGCCCCTTGGGGCTGGCTCACCGGGGAGATGCCCACTCATCAGGGACTGTGGACCCTTCCTAATACTCCCACAGAGTCACTGTGGGCGTGGAGAAGTTCAAAGCCCTGGTCTCATGCCCACTGCAGCCCCCTCAGTGCCTGATGACTCTGACTCCCT